AAAAGTTTTCTTTTTAATTGTGCAAGGAAAGCATGGAGACTGGGTTCTTTGATGTCGGGATATAGCTGCCACAAATCCTTAATTTAGTACACAATAAGATTAAACTAAAAATATTTTTTTGTGTATGGATTTTAAAATAAAAATGTTTTTCCGTTTTAAAAAATGAGGGTCTTGGCTCCCTTGAGGCACAGCAGAGAAGTGTTCACCTTCTTGTCGGAGATTGCAAGGAGTGACGGGGAGCCAAGGGAGCAAAATTGTCTGTGCTGTCTCCCCTGTCAATCACAGTGACACTAACCAATCACAGGCATTTGTGAGCTTATATATACAAAAAGGGCAGATAGAGTAGCAGTTCGGAAAGATGCGGTAGCAGTCACCTTCCATGGTAGGTAGTTGTTGTATGATTGGGAGAGCTGGCCGGTGTGTGGCAGGTGACCAAATTGGGGAAGAAAAAAAACATAGAAACCTTTTATTTTTGTCACATTTACATTACGGCACAGTGAAATTCTTTTCTTCACATATCCCAGCTTTGTTAGGAAGCTGGGGTCAGAGCACAGGGTCAGCCATGATGCAGTGCCCCTGGAGCAGATAGGGTTACAGTTCTTGCTTAAGGACCCAACAGTGGCAGCTTGGAGGTGCTGGGCCTTGAACCCCCAACCGTCTGATCAGTAACCCAGAGTCTTAACCGTTGAGAAACCATTGAACCATTCAACCACATTATATATATGTATACTGATCTGATGACTGTAATTAATTTACATTGTATTATTTCAAAATAAGTGCAATTAAACGCAGTCTACCCTGTGGCCTATGTTCTATTATTTAGGTCCTTAATAAAGTCATTACAGTCTATGCAGCTCTCTGCAGTGAAGTTAAGAAGCTGAAATATGAGGTATGTGGAAAATGTTAGCTTTACTGTGTTTGACAAATAAATTAAAGAGATTAATAGAACCTGTACTGGTAGCAAGATTTTAGAACTGTACTTTTAGTCTTAATTAGTTTTTATTAGATGAGATCTAGATTTAGATCATGACCTTTATGATAAGACGATGCGTTGTCTCCCATATATAGGCTGAAACAAAATTCTACAACGGCTTGCTGTACTATGGTGAAGGAGGTAATCAATTTTGTTTACCTCTTATCGGGAATATCTCTTCTAAGTTTGGTTATTGCCAACAAACTGTATCGGTTATTTTTCACCGAAATGTCATTACTTTCTTACACAATCAAGAAAGCTGTGTGTGAATCCTTCTGATAGTGGTGTGTTTCTGTCTGGCAGTTTCAGACACCAGTGTGGTGGAGGGAGAGTGTCAAGTTCAAATGGGACGCTTCATCTCATTTTTACAGGTGAGACACATTTTGTGACCTAGTGTTTATAGCATCAGAGCCTGTTGGTGAAATATTTTACCAGTAATTTATTATAATGATTTGGTAAAAAAAAATATCTCTCTCTCTCTCTGTCTCTCTCTCTCTCTCTTTGTGTGTGTGTGCAGGAACTGTCTTGCTTTGTGTCTCGGTGCTTTGAGGTTGTGGTTAACCTGGTTCACCAGCTGGCTGCACTGTACAACAGCAACAAGTGAGATTTACACCAATGCAGATTGTCTGTGATGTATTTCTTTTTTCATATTTTATCATATTTTCACTTTCGTTGTCTGTGTATTTTTTATTTTTTTTTAAGAACTGCCACAAAAATCATTGAGTCAAGTGGAGTACATTTTCAGGTAACTTTTTTTTTGTTTGTTTGTTTGTTTTTTTCTGTGGTGTTCATTTTGTGTTCTCAGTGTGATTCTGCACGTGAGATAATGATTGCTGTATTTTGGGCAGATGGTGTATGAGCATCTAGGTGAACTCCTGGTGGTTCTGATCACCTTGGATGAGATCATGGAGAATCATGGCACTTTAAGAGATCACTGGAAGATGTACAAAAGGTGAACAGCATATGGAAGCTCTTTTATGCATTCATGCTCATTAGCATTAATCAGATATCGCAGTTTCATATGTAATATGGGCTTATTTTATCAGCCATATGTGGCTTTTTGTATACTGGGTAACTTAAATTTTTTCTTTGACTTTACAGATTACTCAAATCTGTCCACCACAACCCATCTAAATTTGCTATTCCTGAAGAGAAGCTGAAGCCTTTCGAGAAGCTTTTATTGAAGCTGGAGGGCCAGCTTCTGGACAGCATGATCTTTCAGGTTATTATGCTGCCTTTTCTTGTACATGTTCTTTCTTAAGAAAGGTTATTCTTAAGCAGAATTCTTGGTTCACTAATCTTAGTGTTAGCAATACTCAGGTTGGAATTCAGGTCATCTGCTATGTAACAGTTTTGCTGTTATCCTCTGCACAGTTCATACAAATTTGTCCTTATACTCACATATATGCAGCCTAAGTTATTTAAATCATTTACTTCAAAGTTCATTTCAAGGTATGCAATTCATTACTGCCTAAATAAATGAATACATACTGAGTAATTACTGACAATAATATGTACATACCAATCTGAAGTCTAAAGAACAATTCTTAAAAGTGTAAATACCTCTTTGGACCTAACCTTGGACTGTGTGTGTTAACACTGTAGAATAAACTACTGGGTGGATTTTAGCGTTATAAATTATTCTTGATACAGTCCCCTCCGAAAGTATTGGAACATCAGGAACAATTATTGTTTTTGGTGTACAATAAAGACATTTGGGTTTGAGATCAAAAGATGAATATGAGACCACAGATCAGAATTTCAGCTTTCATTTTCTGATATTTATTTATTCTGATCTAAAAGTATTAAACAACTTGGAACATGACACCTTTGCTGACACCAATTTTTAGGTGGGCAAAATTATAGGAACAAATGATCTTAAAGTAAATAACATTTTATATTTGGTGACATATCCCTTGCTTGCAATAACTGTATCAAGCTGGTGACCCACTGACTTCACCAAACTGTTGCATTCTTCTTTTGTGATGCTTTTCCATTCTTGTACCACAACTTCTTTCAGTTATTGTTTGTTTTGGGGGTTTCTCCCTTCAGTCTCCTCTTCAGGAAGTGAAATGCTGCTCACTTGGATTAAGATCTGTTGATTGACTCGGCCAGTCTAAAACCTTCCACTTTTTTCCCCTGATGAAGTACTGTGTTGTGTTGGCAATATGTTTTGGGTCATTGTCCTACTGCATGATGAAGTTCCTCCCAATTACACTGGATACATTTCTCTGTAAATTGGCAAACCGAATGTTTTCTGTAGACTTCTGAATGCATTCTGCTCCCGTCATGAGTTACATCATCAATAAAGATTGATGAGCTTGTTCCAGAAGCAGCCATGCAAGCCCAAGCCATGACTCTATCTATTATACTTCCATCATGCGTGACCGATGAGCTTGTATGTTTTGGATAATGAACAGATCCTTTCTACATACATTACATTACATCTATGGAACACTCAATGTTTAGTTGAGCAAAAGTATTGGAACAGATAGTCTTAAAGTAAATAACACTTAATATTTGACCCACTGACATCACCAAACTGTTGCATACTTCTTTTGTGGAGCGTTTCCAGGCTTGTACCTCAGTTTCTTTCAGGTTTTTTTTTTGTTTGTTTGTTTTGTTTTGTTTTGGGGGTTTTCCCCTGATAAAGTCTTCTGTTGTGTTGGCAATGTGTTTAAGTCATTGTCTTGCTGCATGATGAAGTTCCTCCCAATTACACTGAATTTCTCTGTAAATTGGCAGACAGGACATTTCTGTAGACTTCTGAATTCATTTTGCTGCTACCATCATGAGTTACATCATCAATAAAGATTAGTGAGCCTGTTCCAGAAGCAGTCATGCAAGCCCAAGCCATTACACTACCTCCACCGTGCTTGATTGATAAGCTCATATGTTTTGGATCGTGAACTAATCCTTTCTTTCTACACACTTTGGCCTTTCCATCACTTTGCCAGAGGTTAATTTTGGTTCCAGGACTTTTGTGGCTCATCTCTGTATTTCTTTGCAAATTCCAATCTGGTCTTCTGATTCTTACTGCTGATGATTGTTTTGCATCTTGTGGTATGGCCTCTATATTTCTGCTCTCAAAGTCTTCTTTGAACAGTGGATTGTAATACCTTCACCCCTGCCCCGTGGAGGTTGTTGGTGATGTCATTGACTGTTGTTTTTGGGTTTTTTCACAGCTCTCACAATGTTTCTGTCGTCAAGTGCTGTTATTTTCCTTGGTCAACCTGTTTGATGTCTGGTTGTTAGTACACCAGTGGTTTCTTCCTTTTTCAGGACGTTCCAAATTGGTGTATTGGCTATGCCGAATGCTTGTGTCAGTGCTTTGCTCAATTTTTCCCTCTTTTCTCAGCTTCAGAGTGGCTTGCTTTTCTCCTATAGCCAGCTCTCTGGTCCTCATGTTGGTTTATCCTTTTTAACAACAAATGCAGTCTTCACAGGCGAAACCCAGGACTCAAACCAAGAGTACATTTTAGAGTAGAACTGTTTAAACAATCACTGTTTTTGGTCACAATATTTTTGATCACTTGAAAAATGGGTGGGTTCAAATTAAAGGTGCCATGTTGTATGTTGTTTAACACATCTAGATGTAAATATCAGGAAATGAAAGCTGAAATTCTGATCTATCATCTCATATTCATTTTTTGATCGCAAACTCAAATGTCTTCAGTATATAGAAGCAAAACAAAAGAATTGGCCTTGCTGTTCCAATACCTTCATAATATCCAGTTCATATCATAGTCACTTCTTGTCAGTGAAATATTAACAAATTACCATTAACAAACAATTTCAGTGATTTTGACAGCTGTCTGCTTGATTTATTTAAGAAATATTCTATTACAGATAGGATTCACCAGGAATACAGTAAGAATACAGTGTGGTTATTGTATAAACCTTAAGACAAAATAAAGAAATTTTAGGAAGTTGAGATCAGGGCACAGAGGTCAGAGCCATGATCTGGTGCCTCTCGAGCAGGAAGGGTTGAGGGCCTTTTTTATTCAAGGGCCCACTGATGGCAGCTTGGCAGTGCCAGGGCTTGAACTTGCAACCTTCTGATCAATAGTCCAGAGGCTTAAACCCTGAGCCACCATTGCCCCAAAGTCTTCAATAAGGCATAAACAGGGAATGTCTTGAAATAGGGAAAGGGCTTATACCGCAAATATGTGAAAGTTAGGACGAGAGATATTTAGTCTTGAAATTAAAAGAACTGTCGATATTTCCAGTCGATATCTTTTTCTGAATCCCCAAACCTCCTTGATCATCTGACTCTGTAAGCCAAATAAAACCAAATATTACCAGTTTGTTACATCAGTCTGGGATAATGTAAGATAATTTGCATATGTGTATTTCAGTTTTTCTTTCTGTTCCTGATAGGCTTGTGTAGAGCAGAGATTTGATAATCCTGGGGAAGGTGTTTCAGTCTCTAAAAACAGCGCCTTTGCTGAGGAGTTTGCTCACAACATTCGCACTATCTTTGCCAATGTGGAGTCAAAACTTGGTTTGTGTTTACTTTTGATTAATCAATGTTAATATAACTAAGTAGTGCTGTATAAAAATTACATCATGCCTTAGCTTGTGTTATTGGGGAAGGTACTGAAGAAATAAGCCACTGGTTCACTTGTACATAATTGCTGAGTACTTGTGTTCACAGGAGAGCCTGCAGAGATTGACCAAAGGGATAAGTATGCCGGGGTCTGTGGCCTCTTCGCTCTGCATTTCCACATTTTTCGTACAGTGGACAAGAGGCTCTACAAAGCTCTTTTGGATGTGTGTAAAAAGGTTTGTGTCAAACTCAGGTCTGTGTATTTTCCCTCTTTACCTAAACTCATCCCACAGTGGACTTGTTCATTAGCTAAAATCAGCAGGGTTGTCAGGCTTTCAGACTTTAAAAAGACTTAGTATAACTGACTATCATTAATCATATCCAGTTTGATCAGACTTTGTGAACAGGGTAAACATTTAAGTCTTTAGTTGAATATACCACATGTATAACTTTTAAAGCAGAACCTTTTTCTTAATATATTTAACACTTTTCTCTTTCTCTTCAAGGTCCCTGCAGTTACACTGACTGCCAACATAATCTGGTTTCCTGATACATTTTTGATTAATAAGATCCCAGCAGCAGCCAAACTGATGGATAAGAAAAGTCTCCAGGCCATTCGTATCAGCAGAGATACATTCTTACAACAAAAGGCACAGACACTACCAAAGTGAGTTTTATGGTACACATGCATGCATTTAATCTGCTCTCTGTGAAATGGTCACACTCAGTGGTGTTCCAGGATAGGCTCTTGATTTACTGCAACCCTGACCAGGATAAAGCGGTTACTGAAGATATATATAAATGTTTTGTGTGTTAATTATATCCATTTTTGCTGTGCCCTAACGCTGTGCTTCTTTCCTTTTCTAGGGATGTGCAGTCTTACTATGTTTTTGTAACATCCTGGATGATGAAGATGGAGGCCATCTTATCTAAAGACCAGAAAACTGAGAAACTCTCAGAAGATCTAAGCAATAGGTGCAATGTATTCGTACAGGTAAAGAAGATTATGCAGTTTGAACCACAAAAGAAGTTAGACTTTTCTGGAGAGTTTAGAGCGCCCATGCCCCATGGACTCATGTTTAACGCTGTTGTTATACCAATGACTAACCTATACAAGTGATCCAGGGCTGCTTCTGTATCAGACACCTGTTCCATGCATTGTAATAGCAATCTAAAACAATGCATCAGCTCAAATCAGAATAAATAATTTAACAGGGTTTAACCATTTAAGCCTCAGTTTCTTTTTTATGAGAGTGAAAGAGAATCTGGAACATGTGGTGGTTGCTTAAAGTTTAACAGTTAAGAAGTCAATGAAATGAAGGGAATCAAGTAGGTAAACTTTTGTGGTGATAGTCTATTTTAGTGATTAAGTTAAAATGTCTAATGAGAGCTTGCCATGTATATTTTGCCTGCAGGGAATCCTATATGCATACAGCATCAGCACTATCATAAAAACTACAATGAACCTCTACATGTCCATGCAGCGACCCATGACCAAGACCTCTGTGAAGGCCCTGTGTCGTTTAGTAGAGCTACTGAAAGTAAACCTTTCCTCTATACTATGATCTTTATCTGTCGTCCACATATCCACATATGCAATGCAATGACATATTACTGAATATTGTACTCAGCATTGATTGATTAGTCTATTTACTCCTTTTTCTTTAAAAAAAACAAAACAAAGGCAGTAGAGCACACATTCCACCGGCGATCCCTTGTGGTGGCAGACTCTGTGTCCCATATCACACAGCAGCTGCAGTCACAAGCTCTGGCCTCTATTTCTACAGCTAAGGTAAAGTCCTTATTGCATTCTGTAAAAAAAAAATATAATATTTTGACCCCACTGTTCCAAACATTTGGGGACATTATTATTAGTACCATTTTATCATTCTTCAGTATTTTACCATACCATAAAATGCCTACATTTTCTGTCTTCTTTCGTAAAAATGTCTCGCTGTTGTACTGTAGAAAAGAGTGATCTCTGATAAGAAGTACAGTGAGCAGAGGCTGGATGTGCTGTCGGCCCTGGTGCTCGCCGAGAACACACTGAATGGCCCGAGCACCAGGGAGAGAAGACTGGTGGTGTCTCTAGCGCTCAGTGTGGGCACTCAGATGGTAAGGAAGCATGTGCTTTGAGTATGGCGTGCTTTAAGACCTTGCAATTGGATAAAAGTTATTGTGGTCACTTTGTTCTCCGAGCTTGCATGAAGCTAGTGCTAATTCTCTCTTTACCTGAGCTCTTCACAGCTCTATGGCTGTTTGTAGAAAAGGTCACACTGGCAGACTAAATTTCCAAAGGGAAACCGTTGGATCAATATATTCATCTTGCATACAAATGTGCTTCATTTTGCTTTTCCAGAAAACATTCAAGGATGAGGAGCTTCTGCCGTTACAACTTGTCCTCAGGAAACTGGACCTCATTAGTGAATTAAGAGAGAGGTGAGACTTATAGAACTACAAAGGGACCTTCAGTGCCATAAGTGTAAACATTTCTATGCATCTACATATTTATGTAAGTGTTCTTTTACAATTTTACAATAGCATGATTTAGTCTTCTAATGTTTAAAAGTAAGAAACTGTTTCTTCTCCACAGGGTCAAAGTGCAGTGTGATTGCAGCTTCCTGTACTGGCACCGTGCAGTGTTTCCCATTTACCTGGATGATGTTTATGATAATGCTGTGGATGCAGCTAGAATACATGTATGTCTACTGACAGTCCACTGTCCTTATTGCAAAATGTTTTTGGTGATGAAATGCTTTTGATACAGATACTGAAATTCCAGTGGTGAAAGTGCTGCTGCTTAAAACCTCAAACTGTCAAACCTATTTTGTTTCTATCTGTCCAGTAATCGAGGTTTTTTTTTTTTTTTTTTTTTTTTTTTGGGGGGGGGATACCTGGTTTCCTCTAGTATATGTTTAGTGCTCTCAGAGACTGTGTGCCCACCATGCTATACGCCAAACACATGGAGTCCTGTGAGCAGCTACTGGAGTGCTATGACAGCGAGATCATGGGGGTCTTCAATGAGGTGAGGAAAAAGATAGTTGTAATGGGTTAGCTGAAATCAGTGACATTTCAGCTATAGGTGGGTAGGACTATTTATGGAATCTGACCCATCATATGATAAATGTTTTATATTAAATATTAATGATAAGATAATTTTTGTTTAGGATATAAACTAAGGATTCATAAACACTTAAAATAATATTACTTATTGATGATCTGTCTAAAGTCTACATCTAAAAGGTCTGTAGTTTGCAAGTTCTCAATGGTGCATGAATTAAAAAGCATTTAAGATACACTATATTACCAAAAGTATTCGGTCACCCATCCAAATGATCAGAATCAGGTGTCCTAATCACTTGGCCTGGCCACAGGTGTATAAAATCAAGCACTTAGGCATGCAGACTGTTTTTACAAACATTTGTGAAAGAACGGGCCGCTCTCAGGAGCTCAGTGAATTCCAGCGTGGAACTGTCATAGGATGCCACCTGT